TCTTATTAATCCATCAGCTCCACCACTATACGATGCGCCAATAGTAGGTGTATATCCTGATAGTAATAGTTATTTTGCTACGATTCCATTTCTACCAGCTTCGAACTCTGAATTAAATATTGTTTCTGATGCACCCATGACGCCAGAAGAAACTAACCCTCCTTTATCCAGTACGGCGCTAACCTTTCCAATAAATGATGATGATGATTATGATGATAATAACAATGCTTCATTCTCTGGACCAACACATTATAATAGATCAACAATGTAGCCTATATATATATATAGATTTCATCGCAGTCTTTAATGTTTATAGACATTCAACCTCGCCCAATCTCCCATTTCTTTAATCGAATTTAAAGAATTAATAGAAATAACGGTATCTTGTAGTATACTCATTATTTCTGATCCATATTTAGCTTACTAAGACTTTAATCGTTGTACAATCGATTTCAGAGCTTTTAATTGAACTCTAAATTATTTATATCATTTTCGTTCCTTATAAACCTCAATATTAATGCGATAATATGAGAGTTTAGCGAGAAAATGTCTTCCGGCATAATACTGGGTAAGGTTTACGACATAAATTATGTCGTATGAAATTCAAATTCACGTTGCTTTATCCATATAGATGAAAGGCTCACTTCGTTGAATGACGATGATGGAAATTGGGTGGTGTTGAAAAAATTAAAAAGATTAGTGCTCTAATAATCTATTTACTGGAGGGTGGAATATGAACCAATCTTACTATGAAAATTTTTTATTTTTTATTTTTATTTTTTTAAAAATATTATGTGTAGTATTTAATAATTTTTTTTTATTCGAGTCACGCTATTTCCTTTGCATATATATAGTTCTTTTTGCTTTTGAATTGAGATTCGAAAAATATAGTAAACGATTGGAATGGGCAAGTGGTTCATCAGGTTTAAATAGAAATACAATAGGACAATGAGACTGATGAAAAATTTTGAATATACATTTCAAATTAAATATATTTTCTGTACATAGATTTACATAACCCGCATGTATGCATTCTTTTTATTATATTTTACTTTCGTTGTAGAAAAAAAAAAATTACACTTTCGGTTATTTTGAAATTCCAAATAATTTTAAAAAATTTTATATATAGTTTGTAATGATAATCAAAAAAAAATTATTTTTATAATATATCTAAAAAAAATTAATCGCAATTATGCAAAGGTAACATTTTTATTTATTTATTTATTTATTGAAAATTCGATTGGTCTCCATTTAAATAATCGAAAAAAAAAAGTATTAAAAAATCATTATTTAGTTTCAACAATATGACCAACGGAACCTTTAAGCTTTGAAAGCAAGAACTATATTATTATTCACAAAAAAAATTAAAAAATCGATATATAAATTCGTTGTGTTTTTCGTTTTTATAACAATCAAAATAAAAGCTGATTTACTAAAGAAATCTTTTTTTTTTTTTTTTTTTTTTTCTGGAAACTTTCTATAAAAAAAAAAATTATAACAAAGGCTGTCAATTTTTTTTGTTAATTTTTTTTTTTTTTTTTTTAGTATAATATATACAAAATTTCTTTTTTTTATACATATATAAAAAAAAGGAATAAGCGAACTAAATAAAAAGGCCTCATGAGTGTAATCCATTTAAACAAATTAATTGTTTTTTCATCAAGAAAATTGAAATAATTCTCAAACTACTATTGCTAATAATAAATCCATCGCTAACATTTTTCATTTATCCCATCGAGTTTTTTTACCTTCACGAGCTGGTGTATCTCCATGAGAAGTAAAATAATCCCTTTTATGAGTATGTTGTGGAGTTTGTTCCCGTCTTTGCTGGAAAAGTTGTTCTTGTGTTGGTAAAGTAGAATTACCAAATTCCGATTGTGGCAAATGATCAGGAGTTCGTGGTGATAAACCTGGAGAAAACGAATGTGAGCGTTGTTGCGAGGGCAAATGTTCTTGTGAAGGAGGAGATGCTGTTCCTTGAAAAGGAGAATCATTTGATGCATCTCCCCATTTACTTGCATGACGTCTGGGAGATGATCCTTCCCAGGATGCATCCGAGTACTTTCTAGAATCTGATGAATTGGATGATCGATCACCTTTATCGTGTCCTCTGCGCCTTTCTTTACGCGAACTTTCATGTTGAGGTCCTAATTTTTTATTTCCAGAACCACTTGAAAACCCTTCACCAATTACAATGTCCGGTTCCTCAACCACAATTCCACCAACTATATCCCTTCCACCAGTACCACCTTTTTCACTAGTAAACAGCCATTTACGATCTGTTTCTGTAAGTCTGCTAAGAGGAATTAAAGATTCTCCAGAGTCAAAATCAAAGCAATTTTTTGGTCCAAAACCTACGCCCCAACGTACCTTTAAATTATAATTAAGTTAGAATATTTATTATTAATGCATTGAATTGAATTTATTTATAAGTTTATCACGTGAGATCTGTTTAGCGAAATCGAGTTCGGTCATGTGTCAAGGGGTAACAATTGGATGACGGTTTTATTGATTTTCAACCGTTATTATGTCTATTCTTAGTCTAGGACTCGATTTTCATAACAGATTCTATACAGATATTTGAAACTTACCACTGTGATCTTGCAATTTTGTTTACCCTTCTGGCTTACTTGCATTTTAAGACCTTGAAGTGCTCTATATGCACCTGCTCGTGTTTCCATTTTAATGAAAGCATGATTTTTATCGTAATTAATCTGATTTAAATTAATGTTGTTAGATAATGAGTATTTTTAATTAACTATTATTATAGTTGGAAATTATATAAATTATATGGTAATAATAAATATTATACTATTAAATACTATACATTATTATACTATTACGTAAAGTATAAAAATAGTATTTATACGGTATAATAAATATTAATGAAATATAATTTCCAACCCTACCAATTAAATTTGATTATAATTTGATCTTAAAATTACCGTGATAGTAGATACGCGGCCATAATTAAGAAATATTTTTTCCATAACACTTTTGGTCAAGTCCTCCGTTACGCTACCAACGTAAAGGGTTCTACTTAAAACTATATAAATATAAATAAATATTTAAATATATATTTAAAAAAGAAAGAAAAATTAAATTTATATTGTCGATTTAAATTCATAAGCTAACAGGTATATATATAATATATAATATATAATATATATAATATATATATATAATATATATATATAATATATATATATATATATATATATATATGTATATATATATATCATACCTTTAATAAAATCTCTTCCAACGTTCGGATCTGCATATGCTATACAATCGTCTTGTTGTATTGCAGCAGAAAGATCTAGATGTCCAGGTGGTCCTTGAGGATTTGGTCCAGGCGGTCCTTGATGAAGTGGCCCTGGAGGACCTTGGTGTTGTAACATATGTGCAGGTGGAGGTCCTTGATGTTGAACAGGAAGACCTGCTGGTGGTGGACCCGGAGGACCTTGATGTAAAGGATGTCCTGGAGGTGGTGGACCTGGAGGCATAGAATGTCCCGGAGGTGGTAACGGATGACCCGGAGGAGGTAATGGGTGACCCGGAGGGGGTATTGGGTAACCTTGAGGTGCCGGGTTATTCGGAAAATGTTCCGGCGGTGCATGCTGTTGTGGAGGAATCGGGTTCCATGGCTGAGGAGGAAGAAGCCCTTGTTGACCATTCCATGGCTGAGTAGGAAATGGTGGTGGTTGTTGATATTGATTTTGAGGAGGCGGTATGCTTCCGGGTGGTGGCGGTGGTGGTGGTGGTTGCTGCTGCGTCCAAGGTTGTTGTGGGAACGGATATGGTGCCATAGCATTATTAGTAGTAGGAATTTGTTGTTGCTGGCCAGGAATTAATAGCGATGGTGCAGCCGACGTTGGCGGCGGTGGTACCGATTGTGAAGAATTAGTTTGATTTCCTTGAGACGGTTGAAAATATTGATTGGCCATATTTTGGTTTTGATCCTGAGGCATTGATGATGCTGCGGATGCTGCCGATTGATTTCTATAAAGATTATGAAGCATGAATATAAAAACAAATAATGTAGGAATTTTTAACAATAAGGTCCATAATCCATATAATCCATTTGTGGGAAACATTATATATTTTATTTTGTCGGGAAATTACCACCCAAATGAAAAACTAATTAATTGTCACGTGAAACTCTAAAAAAGCTTATCACTGAACTAAGAGGAAGTCTGCTAATTTTTTTTTCTTTTTTTTTTATTGTTTTCGGTTTCTCCCACATTAACTAGTTACAGACTAGCAATTGTGCATACTTCCGATACAAATATTACTTTGTAATATGTAATTTTTTTTTCTGATTACTTTTTGCATTATTGCAATTGAAAAATAAAAACTACAATCGAAAAAAAAAAGGAATCTCAAGAAGAAATGATTAAATCGCAAAAGTTCAAGAAATTATCGGAACCTGGTTAAAAAAAGCAAAGCGCACACTTTCCCACAATGCACAAAAAATCAGTCGATTTACTTACACATTTATAGGTTTCACGTTTATAGAATTCGTCAGGATTGCCTCTTTAGTAGTATTATTTATCTCACCATTTGCACCTGATTGTGTTATGTCTCCGTCATCATCTTCATCCATATCTCCATAATCAAAATCAAGAGGATCGTTTAAAGATTCTTTTGTTTTAGTTGTTTCAGTATTATTTGCGATAGTTTGTGATTGGTAATTAGATGAAGATGCTGGAGATTGTAAAAAGCCATTACTCGTAGGAACAGAAGGTTGTGGAATATTAGGAAACTGTGGAGTAACAGCATGCGTGTTAGTAGCAACATTATTAAAAGCGATGGATGGGTTAATAGGTTGCGTTGTAGCAGCAGTTATTGGATTTGATGACAAAAAAGGAGGTATATTCAAAGTTCCTTGAGTTAAATTGTTTAATGTAGCTAATAAAGCTGAAGAATCCAAAGCTGTTGACATCGACATGCTTGGCTGATCTATATAATTGATAAAGAAAAGAACACTATTAAGACCAGAGCTGGATCACACGAATGATTCGTCTTGTCCATTATAGTTATTTTAGATTTATTTATATGAACGAAACATTACTTGGCACAGAAACCATTCGCGGATCACCTCCATGTGATACTGGTGTTGTTATCGACTGAGACTCATGCACATTGTTTTCTAAAGGATTTGTCACAGTTCTTTGAGAAAAATAGGTATCTTTTATTTTTCGAATTAAATCCTTGTCATATATGACATCTTTGGTAAGCCATATGTCAAGAACACGTTTCACTTTTTCCTGTATTTTTATATGAGTTTTAATTAATACATGAATTATAACACAATCGAACAGCCCCACAGCGTAAACCAAGGGAAGCTATGCAAATGTGTTTAACTGTAAAAAAATTAATCTAATATAAGGTATAAAATCTATGTATTATGTTTTTTTAGATCAATTGTTGCTGCTACGTATGTATTTTTAATTATATGATGATGGTTATATAATATATACGGCGATCGGCGTAATGTGTCGTGTAAATTAAATTATTATTATACCTATAGCATCACTACATAACAATCAAACTTATCCCTTGGTTATTGCGAGAAAGAAAATGGTTATCACGTGATTCGTACCTTATCGTGTTCTGGACATTGCATAATGTGTAAGAACATTTCTTCCAATATTTTCTCAAACCTTTCAAGATATTCAGCTCCTGACCAAACAGAACCATCGCTATCTTTTTCTGCAACCAATGTCTTTTGTCTCTGTGCCGCTTGTGATATTGAATCCAATACATATAATGCTCCTAACTTGTAATCGGCCGAACATCTTTGAATGAATTTCTGTACGCTGTGTACTATGTTTTTATATTGCTGAAATTTTCAGCGATAATTAAAAATATCGAGAGCAAAAAAGACATTTAGTGATTTGCAAAATTTATATATTTTTTTTTTCATAATCGATGTATTAACTGGCCCACTTTAGACATAAATATAGATAATTTTTAGTTTAGTTTTAAAAAATTAAAAAATATGAAATGGTTGATTTTTTTTATATTCAATAAAAAGAGGATTTTATTTTTGAAAATATCATCGATCCAACCAAAAGATAATATCTCTACGTTTTTTTTTTTTTTTTTTGTTTTATGTTAAGATGTTTTAACTGCGGATTTTCCCTTTACTCAACCAATAAAGAACAAGT